GCAGTCGGAGGTGATCAAATACGAGTGGAAATGCAAGGGACAAAGGATGCGCTCGTGCACTACAACATTTCGAACATTGGGCATTTATTGGCCGAGTACGTATCCGAATGAGGATGGGAATTTGACGACGTGTTTTGATGCAATGACGAAGATTGTGGATTTCTCTGAGGCGCATCCTCGGTCGTAGCTTGGGGTCCTGAGTCTCCACTGTAGATGGGTATCGTATTTACTTGCACACGAACCTCGTGGCTCGGTCTCTCCGCTCGCTGTTTACTCTGTTTCTGTTTCTGCTCTTCCTACGTCAGCTGCCCTTTGGGAACGCTCGTAGACATTGTCCTCTTCACCTAGGTACACTCCAATTAGCGAGGGTGTTGCAGTTGATTAGCAGATTGCCTCCATATGAGGGCTCAGCAGACCTAGCATCCACACTGCGGTCTTGCATAAAGGGGGCAAAAGAACTTTGACCAGGTGGGCACAGGTTAAAGAATAGAGTTCAAGTCTCGTCTCCCGCGTTGTTCTTTGTGCATTCAATCTGCATGGTTCTCCTCCTCTCCTTCCTTTGGTCTCTGTTTCCTTCCTGCTCGGGGTATTGACACTATTTAGGATTAGCGAGTCCCGTCCTTACCGTTGTTGGCGCTACAGAAAGGAGACCGAATGCAAATACTGTATTGAGAAAGAACTCTGTCTGTATACGGCCGGATCGGATCCGGGGCCCGTGTGTACCATCAATGAGTAGGTAAGTGTGACAATGGTGATAGGTAAAGTCATTTTCGATTATCAATCGCGCCTTCCGCCCGTTTCCTCGCGATCATGTCTGACCATCCATGCTTAGTCCGCCCTGTCTACCATTCATCTACTGACTCACTCTTGAAGCTGTCCAACAAGCAGAAGCGGGAGTAGTGTAGATGGCCAGCACGTTGCCCTCATATACAGGTTCCTAAGCACGCCGAAGGGGCGTGCGAAAGGTCCTGTAAGGCAGAGACCCGAGTTCGATTCTCGTCTCCCGCATACCGTTTCTTTTTGCTCCGATGAAGAAGTGAGTGAGTAGTCTCGTGAGAGCGATCGTATGAGTCATGAGTAGGGCAGGGTTTACAGTGATTAGGCGAAGAGTGAATATCGCTCTCTATGCGGTCTCCAAACTTGTAGGTAAGGAGCAGCTCCATTTTCAGGTTTTGGCAATGTCTGGTTCTCATAACATACCTACAGGTCATTCGTGGCTATTCTCTTGCAAGGACAGCCCGCCAGATCCGTCTGTACTGCATACAGCCCACTATTCCACAAGCTCATTCATTCAGGACCCCCTTGATGCATGTAAACGCATCATGGTCTCGTCACTCTCTGGACACTCCTTACCCATGAACTTGCTCTTCTCCCCTCGCATGCTCGTCCTCGTCCTCATCTTCGAAGAAGATGTGCTTCGCGTGGAACGTGCGCGTGGTCTTGGCCTTAGACTGTTTAGAGTGGCGGTGACCGTGACCGTACGCGCCGAGCTTGATTGTGTAATGCTCTACTCGCTGCTGCTGATGGTGTTTGCGCTCCCTGAGAGGTTCAGGGAGCTTGCGTGTCGTTGAGGGCTTCTCCGTCTTGGTATGATCGTCTGTCGTCGAGGTTCCGTCGGTCATCGAGCTTTTGTCTGAGGTGGAGAGCTTGCAAGCCATAAAGACCAGGTCTGTCATGGTGGCTCGGTCATTTGTTGTGGCTGTGTCCCTTGCTGAGATGTCGTTTGCTGTCTGGATGTTGTCTGTCATCGTGGCCTTGTCCATCGTCGCGGCGTTGTCTGTCGTCGTCATCATTTGTTCTTTTATGTCTTGCACATGAGTCTGCTCTTCTTTGCCATCTTCATGACCGTAGTCGGCTGCCTTGCCTGCCTCGCTAAGATTCTGTTCCGACTTCGTCTGCTCCATACTCTTTTTGCTCTGCTTAAGGAAGAGCGAGCTACTCTTATGGCCTCTGGAAAGAGAAGAGTTGTTGTAGGGATATTCACGGGCCTGTACAAGCTGAATATTGCCCAAGCCAGGATTCGCGAATCTATTCAGTTGATATTGTTGATGGCCTTGTTGACAGGTGCGATTGTGAGGAAATAAACAATTGATCACATGGTATACACGCACAATTACGACAGAACGCCGAGCGCGCAAAGTCCCGAGGCAACGTCTTAAGAATCGTGCAGGGTACAGACCAGACTCGCACTGCTTCTTCAGGAGTGGCGAGCTCCTGACCAGCTGCTTAGGGTCAGTAACGGACCTCGAGTTCCAAATACGGGAAAGGAGGTTGGAAGACATTGAAAACTCTATTGCGATGGGTATAGCTCTGATTTAGTTACTTTGCTTCGTGACGAACACGTCAAGCTCCTCTTGATCGACCTTTCCACCAAGCTATTCTCTCTGCAAGA